CGGTAACACAGTTGTTAAGTGAACCTGGCTTCCTCATTGACGTTGCTTTTTAGAAGATCGCAAAAGAGGATCACATCACCCCTGCAACTATCATAAATATGAATTTTGGTCACATGATCATAGGGATGCTGCATCGGTTGTGTGAAAAATGGCCGTAAGTCACTTTTTTCAGTGCCATTGTAACTTGCCTGTGTCTGCTGTAGAATGACAGGGCCAACCATCACCCACTGCTCCCTAAACAAAGTATGAAAGAATCTGAAGGTCAGCAAAAAAGTAACTCCTGCCAGTTCATACACTTATTATTCAGTAATAAGGGTAGCAAATTTGGTACAGTTTCTTGTCAATTCAAGGTCGAGGGAGAGATGGTAGAAGTTAGCCATATATCTGTCAGGGAAAGTGCCACAATACAGGTAGTCCTTGACTTACAACAGTTCACTTAGTGACTGTTTGAAGTTTCAACGGCACCGAACAAAGTCACTTATGACCGTTTTTCATACTTATGACCAATGCAGCATCCCCATGGTCACGTGATTTACATTCAGATGCTTGGAAACTGGTTCATAGTTATGACGGTTGCAGTGTCCAGGGGTCACATGATCATATTTTGCAATCTTCTGACAAGCAAAGTCAATGGGGAAGCCAGATTCATTTTATAACCTTGTTACTAATTTAGCAATTGCAGTGATTCATTTAACAAATGGGGCAAGAAAAGTCGTAAAATGGGGAAAACAGGGAGCATCCATCCATGCTATCCACATTACACTACAATTTCCATATCACAAGAAAAAAAAATATTGAAATTATAGATCTTTCCATGGTATTACTTTTTTTAAAAAACTTGCAAATCCAAATACAGGTAGTCTTTGACTTACAATAATTTGTTTAGTGACTGTTCAAAATTACAACAGCACTGAAAAATGACTTATGACTGGCTTTCACACTCACAACCGTTGCAATATCCCCATGGTTACATAATCAAAATTTGGATGCTTGGCAACTGTCAGGTACTTATGACAGTTTTGTAATCTTCCCAGCTGGCTTCCAACACGCAAAGTCAACGGGGGAAGCCAGAGTTGCTTAACAACCGCATGATTCACTTAACAACTGCAGAGATTCGGTCAATAACTGTGGTTAAAAAACATCGTAAAAGGGAGCACAACTCACTGTCTTGTTTAGCAACGGAAACTTTGGGGTCAATCGTGGTTGTAAGTTGTACTCAGCTAGGAAAACAAAACATATTTTCTCTAGGAAAGAATAAGATCAATTTGAACTCAGTGCTATCTTGGTGGCTTTCCAAGAAGAAAATAATGTTGCCCTCCCCTTTCTTTACAAGACTGTTTCACCACCTCTATAAATGCTTTCACAGTAAATTGCTGCAATGTTTTCAAATCCTCAATGCCTTCCTACAATTAATGCCTTCGCTATGTAAGGCAAAGGCATGAGATCTCACCAGGGAGGTCGCCAATTTGCAGAGTCCTTGCTGTTAGATGAAGCAGTCCAAGAGAAAGAAGAGCAAATACTGCATTACGAAAGGAATTACGGGGGATACAGGTTGTCCTCAACTTACAACAGTTCACTTAGTAACCCTCTGAAGTTACAACAGCACTGAAAAAAGTGACTTATCACCATTTTCCACACTTATGACAGTTGATGCATCCCCATGGCCACATGATTTACATTCGGATGCTTGACAACTAACTCACATTTATGACAGGTGCAATAACCTGGCATCATGCAATCAATCCCCTTTTGCAACCTTTTGACAAGCAGAGTCAATGGAGAAGCCAGATTCACGTGACAACCGTGTTACTAATTTAACAACTGCAGAGATTCACTTAACCAATGTGACCAGAAAGGTTGTAAAATGGGGCAAAACTCACTTAACAAATTTCTCACTTAGCAACATAAACATTGGGCTCAATTGTGGTCATAACCCTGTTTAATTATCCAGGCAAAGACTTCTCCCAGGGAAGGAAAAAAGTTGTGGTACAGGTAGTCCTTGACCTACAATCATTCGTTTAGTGATCATCCAAAGTTACAAAGGCACTGAAAAACAGGACTGTTTTTCACCGTTATAATCATTGCAGCATCCCCATGGCCACGTGATCAAAATCCAGACATTTGGCAGCTGGTTCCTATTTATGAGGTTGCAGTGTTCTGGGGTCATGTTTTGCAACCTTTTGACAAGCAAAATCCATGGGGAAGCCAGATTCACTTAACCACTGTGTCACTCACTTAACTACAGTGATTCAGTTAACAACTTTGACAAGAAAGCTCACAAAATAGGGCAAAACCCACTGAACAATTGTCTCACTTGGACTCAATTGTGATCGTAAGTCAAGGGCTACCTGTACACATTTCAAAAGATTAGGGTATGGGGTGAACCCACCTTAAAATGTGACTCATTCCTTCGCCAAATGTAAGAGCAGAGTTGTGTCGGGAGAGTTCTCTTGGACTGTTTCATCAAACCCTGCATTTTATGTCACATTATGGCCAATCCAGTAAACCCATGATGGCGAACCTATGGTACGTGTACCACAGGTGGCACGCAGAGCCATTTGTGCGGGCATGCCAGCCCCAGCCAAACTTACCTGCACTGCGCATGCGCGTGCCTCCGAGCTGGTTTTCGGCCTCCCAGGGAAGCCTTTGGAGGCCGAAAAACGGGCCCGTTTCATCACTTCTGGTACTTCTGGTTTTGTCACTCCCGGCATTTGGAGGCTGAAAAACGGGTCCGTTTTTCGGCCTCCAAAGGCTGCAGAGGCTTCCCTCGAGCCTCTGGGAGGCTGAAAAGACCTCAAATGAGCAAAACATCAGCTACACACATGTGCAGTATAGTTAAGGAGGGGTGGGGGGAGGTGTTGTGTGTGCATGCACAGGGGGGCTGGGCACATTGCATTGTGGGTGCTGGCATGGTTCGCCATCACTGCAATAAACTAACAATAAACTTTTCAACAGTTGTTAATCAACTCATACCATCTTTGAAAGAGAGAGATGAGGCTATAACTACAGATGGCCACAGTTCCTTTCAAGGCTTCTAACCTGACAGCCCTCAGCACGTCTGATAGCAAATTGTCCAGGCAAGTCAAACTCAATGTCAATCAAAATAATGACAAACAAGGAAACAACATTTACAAGGAACGGCTGCCATTTTCCTCAACCCAGAAGGAACCATCCCATTCTCAAGATAGCTTTATCATCATCTTCCTTGAACTATTACCAAGGATGAATGGCTGCACAATCACAAAAAACTGTTCCAATCCAGGAACAGAGAATAAGATGAACAGCATTTAAAAAAATGAGGAAATTTAATGAGTAAAAATAAAAACTTCTATTCCACTAATTAAAAAAGAATAACAGACAAGGCCCAAAGATATAAGTAGCTCTCAACTTATGACAACTGAGCTCAAAATTTCTGCTGTTAAGCGAGACATTTGTTAAGTGAGTTTTGCCTCATTTTACTACCCTCCTTTGCCACAGCAAAGTTAAGTGAATCACTGTGGTTGATAAGTGAGTAACCCCGCTGTTAAATGAATCTGGCTTCTCCTTTGACTTTATTCATCAGGTCAGGGAATCACGTGACCTTTGGACCCAGCAGCGGTCAAATATATGAACCAGTTGCCAAGCATCTAAATTTTGATCCCACGATCATGGATAAGGTGCAAAGATCGTGACTTTGAAAAACAGTCCTAAGCTCCATTTTTTGGATGGGATTTTGAACAGTTGCTAAATGAACTGCTGTTAAGTCGAGGACCACCTGTGCCATCCTGCTCCCTCATTACGGTGTAAGGAACTGAGATCGGCAGCCTGGATAGTTAAAACAGAATAAATAATCTTATAATCTAAACAGGCTGAACCGCAGCCATCCTCACGTGAAGCTTGCCAGCCTGCAGCAATCGGCATTCGCCTTCCCTTGCCGGCCAAGCTGCTCCAGCAAGGAAGCTAAGAGAGAAAGCCAAGGACTACAGAGGCCACCAGCTCAAAAGCAACTTGGCCCACCTCCAACTTCGGGTTGGAAGCCCCCAAAAGGAAGACTAAGCAGGTGCTGGTAAGTCCTCAACATACGACCACAATCGAGCTCCAAAATTTATGTTTGCTAAGCCAGGTGCACATGAAGTGAATTTTGCCTCGTTTTTTTACGACACTTCCTGGCACAGTTGTTAAGCGAAACTGGCTTTCCCCATTGAGTTTGCTTCTTAAGGGGGTCACGAAAGGGGATTGCAGGACCCCGCCGCCGTCATAAATACAAGTCGGTCGCCAAGCATCTGAATTCTGATCACATGACTGTGAACGTGAAAAGCAGTCAGGAGTCATTTTTTTCCCCCAGCGCCGTCGTAACTTTGAAGGGTCACTAAATGATCTGTTGCAAGTTAGGGGCGTTTGACAGTATTTTAAAAGTAGCAACAGAACCAAGAGGTCTCAAGGGGGAAAAGCACTCCTTTTCTCACTTAAAATCGATTTTTTTTTTTTTAGTGAACCGTCGTAAGTCGAGTACTGTGTACTTTCCCCAGAAACCAATTCAAGGGAAGGACCCCCGTTTGACTCCCCTGAAAACCTCCGCACAGGCCGAGCCGCCCAGCCGGGCAAGCTCTTTTCCCCGTCAGAGCGACTCTCATTGAGCCTGGAGGGGGGAAAAAACATGAGAAGGTAGATTCACGATCCCTCACTTGGATCACCGCGGGGTCTCCCGTCCCCGTGACTCGTCGTTTCCCGAACGAGGGAGGGGGGGACGGCAACTCCCATTTCTCTATCACGGGGGGGGGGTAATTCTTCCCCTCAGCAAGGCCTGCTCCGCCCACCCACCCCCCACCCCAGGAGATGGTTCGGGCGGCATCCCCATCCTCCCCAGGCGGCGAGGCCTTCTCTCCTCCGTCCCCCTCTCCCTCAGCCAGGCTGGCTGGACCGTAGAATTCCCGCGGCCAAGCGGCCGGGCTCGAACTGTGGAGACCCGGAGGATTGGGGAGGGACGGCCGCTTTTTCCAGCCCCGCCGGCGGTGGGTTACCTGTCGCCCGGCGCTTCCACGTCCTGGGGTGCGGGCGTGCGCACGCGCACACGCTTCTCCGGCCTCAACCCCCCCGGCGAGACCCGTCGACACTCCCCGAGGCGGAAGTGCGACCCGCCGCCACCCCCTCCTCTCTTTCTCTCTCTCTCTCTCTCTCAACGTTCCCCCACCCCGTCCACGCTTGACAGACGCTTCAAGCTGTCCAATCGTCAGCGACGGAACGATGGACGTTCGGAAGACACCCCCCCTCCCCTCCGCTTCCCCTGGGCGTGCCGTCTCGCTCTCCTCCCGCAAGCGGGCCAATGGACCGCGAGGGAAGGGAAAGGGCGGGGATTATGCTAATCAAGAAGCCTGAGGCGCCGGAGTTCCTACCGAGCTTTCGCGCATTGTCGTGCGGACTCGACCTCAAGGTGGTTCTGCTCGGCCAATGGCGTTCTTCCAAAGGGGCAAGGCCATGCAAATGACACGGGAGAAAGCAATCCCGTCGAGCAGCTCCGGCGCGTCGTAAGCGGAATGCGGTCGGACAGCTCGTGATCCCCGAAAGCCTTGGGTGAAGAAAGCAGGCGTCGTGCCCCCTTTCCAGGCGTACATTTGATTGTTGATGTCCAATCGCCATGACCAGATAGGTATCTTGTGGTTTACAGAGGCCCTTCCTCAACCAGGGATGCTCCAGGTGTGGTTGGGACCACAATTCCCAGAATCCTTTGCTGGTACTGCCGTCAATTGTGAGAGCTGTAATTCTAACACACTTCGGAAAAGGACAACAGCTCATTTAGTGACCGTTTGAAGTTACGACATCACTGAAAAAAGTGACATCATTTTTCACACTTAATGACTGTTGGAAGTTAAAACCTACCCCTCTCCTAGGAAAATGAAATATTTGAGGATATATTTCCCCTAAAAGAGAAGTAGAAACTCAGAGAGAAACTCAGCTACCGTGTTTCTCCAACAATGCGTCCCCCCCCTCAATAGGAAGACCCAGCATGTTTTCTAGGCATAAAATGAAATTAAGCCCCTCCCCCCAAATTTAGGCCTAGTTTAAAACATGCGAAATGGGGGGAAGGGGGGGGGGGAGAACTTGCCATTAGGAGTGCCCCGCGGGCAGCTACGCCTCACCATCAGCCAATCATGGTGGAGCACAGAGGGCTCCCTTACCCGCACCAAGCGCCTTTGCTGCAGACCCGGGTCAGCAGGCGGGCGGCGTCAGCGTGGATGTCCGGCAGTGTTTCAGCTGCTTCTCAGGCCTCCGTAGCTTCCACGGTTCCCACCGGTGCTGGCGCCTCTCTCGCCAGCGCCGTCTCCAACAACAGCGTCTGAGTCTTTCCCACTTTCCCCCCGTCCCCGTAACAACAGGAAAAAAAAAACATTTTGAGGTACCTGGGAGCATCGCATGCTGCATTTTGGTTTAATCCTGAGCGGCTGGGTGGGCGTGAGAAGAGCTGAGCGAGCGTCTCTGCTGCTGCTACCCTTGGTGCTCCAGCCTCGGGCTCTGCAAGTTTGCAAAAGTCCCGGTGCGCAGCCTGTTCCTGCATTCCAAGCGTCCAAGCTGAGCTGCAGCTCTCCCTCTCTCGCCAGCGCCGTCTCCAACAACAGCGCCAGCACCAGTGGGAACCGTGGAAGCTACGGAGGCCTGAGAAGCGGCTGAAACGCTGCTGGACATCCATGCTGACGCCGCCCGCCTGCTCACCCGAGTAAGGGATGGGTAAGGGAACCCTCCGCGCTCCACCATGATTGGCCGTTAGGAGTGGCTGGTGGCGAGGCGTAGCTGCCGGCGGGGCACCCTAGGCGAGGGTGCACGGGGGAGGGTAGAAAGAAATTAATTCACCCCCAGAAAGACGTCCTAGCCGTTTTTTCGGGGCTCCAAAAAAAATAAGACCCGGCCTTATTATATGAGAAACACGGTAATGGACCATTAAGGCCTGGGCCAGTTTATTCTATATAACAAAGATCTACCTTCTTCAGGCAGACGCATAATAGGAATTGCCCAAAGCCCTTCCATTACATCATCATCAAACAAGGCTCAACCAAGCCTGGGACTCAGGACAGCCTACAGAGTTGCCCCTGCATGGCCCCATGGGAGTCTGACAACCAATCAGAACACAAGCTCACATTCAAATCCCAACAGAGGGCATAAAACCCAGCGACTCTCTTCATCTCTTCCCTTTTTTCTTCACCCAGGAGCTCCAAGCCATGTGATCCTGTCCACCATTAAACCATCTTTCCAAACAGCCTCCATGTTTCCACTGTCTTTTTCCCCACTTGGAATTGAACCCAGAAGGATAATTCTTCCAACATGTCTGTTTGAAGCATGCCGATAGTCATGTGATTTACATTGGGATGCTTGACAATTGACTCACATTTATGACGATTGCAGTGTCCTGGGTATGATCCCCTTGTGTGACCTTCTGACAAGCAAAGTCAATGGGGAAGCCAGATTCACTTAACAACCGGGTTACTAATTTATCAACTTGCATTGATTCACTTAACCAATGTGACAAGAAGAAGAATAGTAAATGGGGCAAAACTCAAACTTCTAACTTAGCAACATAAATTATGGGCTCAGTTGCGGTCGTAAGTTGAGGACCACCTGTATCATGTTGCTGACATGCACGTTGCTGCTTTGAACTTGTACAAAGAAATATAACTCTGACTGTAATTCATATAGAACTGCGCATAGAACCGGTAGGAAAAAAATTGGGAATCCACCACTGGTAAGGACACACTTGTTTCATCTCAGTCCCAACTTTGGACATTTGGAAGCACCCCCTCTTAGAAGAATGAAATATTTTGAGGAATATTAAAAAGGCAAAATATTATATTTCCCCAAAGGGAGAAATGGAGAAACGTGCTCTTAAACCAGCCCCAGTTTCCCTACCCACAAGCAGGAAACTGAGGAGGCTAGCTTTTAGAAATGCAGATTTGGTAATCCATTCCAGACAGGAAATTTTGAAACTCCCTGTACCAAAGTATGAACAAAGGCAGAATGATAGGATTAGAAGTAGCTCCTCACCCAATATCCAACACTGGACAAAGCTATTAACACATTCATTGCACCCTCCCCTCACCAGAGCAGCCCAAACTTCACTTGGGAGCTCAGATAAACAATAAGCCAGAGGTTGACAAGATTAGCTCAGACAAGCACCTAGGATTTGCATTTCCTCTTTTGCCTATAGAGCCAGTTATGACCCCTACATGACCCCTATAGGAATCTGACAAGAGCCAATAGAATACATGTTCTTGCACAGGAACAGGTAGCTCAAATACAAAGCCAAAGAAGGTATTAAAAAAAAAACCCCACTCTCAACTCCATTTTGTCAGCTGCACCAGAACCATAAATGCTAGAGGTTCTGCTTCATCATTTAAACCATCTTTCCAATCAGTCTCCATATTCCCAGTGTCTTCCTCCCAGCTTGGAACTGAACCAGATGGATATTTCTTCCAACACATCTCTGAGAAGACCAAATGACGTTGTTTGCCATCTTTGGGGTAGCCGAGAATAAATTTCAGGCTCTTATAACCAGGGCTGTCCTCCAAGTTTCTAATGTTGTTTGTATTCAGCTTCTAATTTGCCTAAAGAGATTGGTCTTCATTTTTTTCTTACATCCTAATTGCTGTCTCCCCTCGTTTTATATGGGAGGCATTAGACTCCTTTGTATTTCGTTTACTTTTACTTGCCAGACTTTCTGATATGTTGCCAATAAGAACGCTTTAACTTCATCTTGAGAATATTAATGGTGCTAGAAATTGGCCCTGGATTTTTGGGAAGACATTAAAAAAAAAAACACAACCAGAGCAATTGAATTAAAGATGATTGTAGTAGCGTAACATCAATCATCCATGCAGATTTTTCTCTGTATTTCTGAAGATAGAAATCCAAGGAGCTAATCCAGCACGCAACCCAACAAATCACTTTGACAGAATGTATTTTAAACAAGAATATAACAGACTTTATCCTGTTAGGATTTCCTGATGGCAAATAACCAATTATGTCACGAGGCAATCAGAAATAATACTCTGTTCAGTTCTACAGAATCTGTGACTGTGTGTGTTGTAAACTTCCAAGGAAAAGATAATAATTAAAAGTATAAAGTACAAAGGGTAATGTATGAGACAACAGATCAGCTTGGTGGGGTATTGTACACCAGGACAAAAAGATATGAAGAGGCAGAGTGAATGAAATAAGTATGTTTAGGAATGGTTGTTTGGACAGGATGAATAACCGTGGAACTTACAAAGCATTCAAAACCTTTCCTAGACCAATACTCGAATACAGCCCATCAGTCTGGAATTTGCACTGTATGTCGGACATTAATACAATTGAGTGAGTCCAGAAGTATTTCACTAGAAGATTACTACACTCCTCTGCTCGCAACAGAATACCCTATATCACCAGGCTTGAAATTTTGGGCTTGGACAACCTTGAACTAGCCGCCTACGGTTGGACTTAAGCGTAGCACACAAAATTATGTGCTAGCTACAATGTCCTACCAGTCAATGACTACTTCAGTTTCAACCACAACAATACAAGAGCACACAACAGATACAAACTCAATGTAAACCGCTTCAAACTTGATTGCAGAAAGTACGACTTCAGCAACAGAGTGGTCAATGCCTGGAATGCACTACCTGACTCTGTTGTTACATCCTCTAACCCCCAACTCCTTTAACCTTAAACTATCCACTATTGACCTCACCCCATTCCTAAGAGGTCTGTAAGAGACGTGCATAAGTGCACCATCGTGCCTACTGTCCCGGTCCTATTGTCCCCATTTATTCGTTTATTTATTTAATCAAATAAATAAATAAACTTCAAAGCAAATATATGAAGGAAAAGAGAATGTGTTTGAGTAAGGGGGAAGATTGAGAATGTTATATAGGTAGTCCTTGACTTACAACCACAATTAAACCCCAAATTTCTTTTGCTCAACAAGACAATTGTTACCTGAGTTTTGCCCCATTTTACAATCGTTCTTGTCATAGTTGTGAAGTGAATCACTGCACTTGTTATGTTAGTAACACTGTTGTTAAGCGAATCTGGCTTCCCCATTGACTTTGCTTGTCAGAAGGTCACAAAAAGGGATCACGTGACCCCAAGACACTGCAACCGTCATGAATATGAGTCAGTTGACAAGTGTCTGAATTTTGTTCACATGC